TCGATGGGCCTTTGGAATAGCTGCTGTAGACACAGAAGGTGTTAAGCAGTTGACTGTTTTGCCTGGCCTATCAGAAGATCTGTCTGTTGTGGGGTTGCAACGAGTGAAAGAGCAACAGGTACCAATTGCTACAAAAACGGTGCACAGATGGCAGTACCGCACCAACAGGGATTCCTTGCTCCCCATTCAGAAGTTGATTCGTCAACTAGAGAGTCAGGGAGTGATCAGCAAAACTCACTCGCCTTTTAACAGCCTCATATGGCCAGTGCGTAAAGCCAGTGGAGAATGGAAGCTGACAGTGGACCACCGTGGCCTGAATGAAGTCACACCCCCACTGAGTGCTGCTGTGCTGGACATGTTACAACTCCAGTATGTCAATGTCGGCATACCTCTTGGCTGCTTTTGTCTCCAATTCATACTGGTGTTCTAGCATGTCCGGTACAGCAGCATTCAGTGGGGTTGTGACTTCATTCAGGCCACGGTAGTTTACCATCAGCCTCCATTCTCCACTGGATTTATGCACATGCCATATGGGACTGTTTACTGGTGAGTGAGTTTTGCTGATCCCTCCCTGACTCTCTAGTTGATGAATCAACTTATGAATGGGGAACAAGTTGTCTCGCTCAAATTTATAGGAGGGAGATGAGGTTCTGTTAATATCTGTATACCCGGCGTGAGATTAAGAAACGGTTCAAATGTTAGTCCAACTAGTTTATTATAAATCCTAATCAGGGAGACGAGGAAGGGAAGGAGAGTGATAGAAAAGATAGGAAAGAAGCAAGAATTGCGTAAAGTGGGGATAGTCACCACCAGGATCCAGCAGCGGTTCCGTTGCATGACGTTTTGAAAGTCCGAGGCAGAAGCAGCAGGGGGAGAGAGCAGCAGCATGTCCGGCCTTGGACAGCAAGCAGGTAGCAGGAGGCAGTCGCGGAACCAATCCGAGCAAGTCCAGGAGGGAGAGAGGCAGGTCATGAGGCTTCTGATGGCAGAAACCTCTTCTTCTTCATGAGGAATCTGTTGCCAGAAAACCTAAAACTCATGGTTTTCAATTCCTCTTTTATCCTTTTTCTCCTGCCAACGTGGCATTCCTGGGCACTTGAGCAAGAGTCATGTGAGTACCCCCTGAGACGGTCATCTTCCTTGAGATAAGCCCACACAAAAGACTGCTTTCTCTCTCGTTGCCCCTGGCCTTGTCCATCAGTGTTTTCCAGACAATGGATTTCTCAACCCCTTGACCAGGACTTGCTTGGACTTGTTCATCTGTGTCCTCAGCAAGCTTTGAGACAATGATGTAAAAGAATAATCTCTTACACATCACCCCTTGGGATCCTTGAAATGCCCCCTTCTGAGGTAATCATTACCAAGTATTCATGGAGCCCCTGTGCCAGTCATATTTGGGTGTTTTTGCCAGTCTTTACCAGTGGGGTTTATTTCAGCCTCCAACATAGTCAACTCTTGGGAACCCCCAGTCACCCCATGAATATAAATTGATTTTGTCCCTTGGTGACTTGAGTGCATCAGCGTGCACTTTGCACCAGTGTCCACCAGTGCCTTATACTTCTGTGATTCTGATGTGCCAGGCCATCTAATCCACACAGTCCAATACACTCTGTTGTCCCATTTCCCTACCTGGATGGGGGCAAGACCCCTCTATTTATAACCTCTATCGTTCTTCCATGAGTCATGATCAGGGTCCTTACAGCTTTTGCTGTGTCCTTCAGCAACTGGAGTGATCACCTTTTTGGAGGAGTTCAACTTGATGGTTGATCTGTCTTGTAATTCTTTTACCTGTGCTCGAACTGCAGGTGTGGGTTTTTTATTCCACTTCTTCATATCTTCTCCATGGTCACGCATGAAATGCCACGAGGCAATATGTGATGTAGTCTAACTGTTACAGAATCACAGAATGGCCCAGGTAGGAAAGGAACTCAAGGATCATGAATCTCCAACCCCCCTGCCACAGGCAGGGCCACCAACCTCCACATTTAATACTAGACCAGGCTGCCCAGGGCCCCATCCAATCTGGCCTTGAAGACCTCCAGGGACGGGGCATCCACAACCTCTCTGGGCAGCCTGTTCCAGCACCTTACCACTCTCACAGTAAAGATCTTCCCCCAGACATCCAACCTTAAATCTTCCCTCCCTCAACTTAAAACCATTTCCCCTTGTCCTGCTGTTATCTACCCTTTCAAAGAGTTGACTCCCTTCCTGTTTGTAGGCTCTCTTTAGGTACTGAAAGGGTACAATTAGGTCATCCTGCAGCTTTCTTTTCTCCAGGCTGAACAAGCCCAGATCCCTCAGCCTGTCTTCGTGTAGTCACTTGCTCGAGCAGGAGGGCATCTTCTTTTAATAGTTGAGGTGTTGGATGATGCAGGTCGGGAGGAAACTAATTTGATCAGCCCCTCCAGTAGGCTGTTTTGAAAATCCTGATCCCCATCAGGTGTATCTGATACCACCATGGGTTCATCATTTTCATCACAATAAAGCACAGTAGACAGTTTGCCCATCATATCTTCTTGATTACTCTCCATTTTGTCAAGTTTTTCAGTTACTTTTCCAATGTCTGAAACACAGGTTTCTGGAGGGCTTAAATGTAACTCAAAGTCTTGAAGTTTATTAATCAGTTCATTTATAAGGGGTCTTCTTTGTCCTTTGCCATACATTGCTGCTAATGTACTGGCATACTTTTCTAGTGCAGTTCTTGTGAATTTCTGCCACGTACTTGGTGTACACCTGACTCTCTCAGCATCATGGTCTTGGTTTGGGTAATCAGGAATGAATGTGGGGTCATGTAACATTTCCACCATGGTGCATTCTCTCAAATAATGGATGCCTTTTTCCATAGCAGTCCATTTCTTTTTCTCAGGCATCAGATCAACTTTGAAGGGTTTTTTTTTCTTTACAGCTAACAGCATCCGTTTCCAGAGAGTGAAGGCCTCATCCTGACATCCACTAATACCTCTGTCAATGGCTGAGTCACTAGCAATGCGACCCAGTTGGCGAGCTTCTCTGCTATCTAGCAGCACACTGTTGGCCCCATTGTCCCAACATCGAAGTAAGCAGGCGACAATAGGTTCATTTGGGTGGCGTGAAAAGTGTTTTCTCAAACCTTGAATTTCAGTCATTTGCACAGGTCGAGTAGTAATGGTGATGATGTCTTCCTCACCTCCTATTCTTCAGGACTTCTTATCCTCCTGGTTGTTGGTGACCATGATCCTACTGGGGGTCTAATCCCTCTCTGGATCCCTTGGATCTCGGAGCCACTCCTCTGGATCTCTTCCCTCCTCTTCTCTTACAGTGCTTTTTTCCCCCTACTTTCTCCTCCTCCTCTTTCTTCTGTTCTAAATGAGGTGATGCTCGTTTCATTTTCCATCCTCTTACAGGGGAACTGAAATCGATTCTGGTGCCTCCTTTGATTGATCAGTTTTCTCAGTTTCAACACTCCTACTCTCCAGCTCAGCTCGGAGTTTGTCTTTTCCACTTAGAAGGAGGTCTCGTTCAGCTTGGAGGATGTCTCATTGAGACTGAATTTTGACTTTTTCACTTTGGAGACTTTTTAGTTTGGAGTGTGTCCTGTTTGAGTTGGAGGGTATCTTGTTGAGATTGAAGGCTGCCTCATTCTATTTGAAAACTGTTGAGTTCGGATTGAAGGGAGTCTCAATCGGATTGAAAGGTGTGTCCCTCAGAATGGAAGGTGTCTTGTTCATTTCAGAGGGTGTCTTGTTCAGATTGGAGGTCTTTTCTCTAGGATTGGAGATTCTCTCTCTCAGATTGGAGACTTTCCTTTTCAGATCACTCAGTCTGGAGATTCTGTTTCACAGCTAAGAGACTCTTTCTGGATCTGGAGATTCTCTCTTTTGGCGTGGAGACTCTCCCTTTCAGTTTCATTGACTCTCTACCTCTCTGGGACAGTATTGAATAAGGCCTGATAAGCATAAGCCAGGCCCCAAATAATTTGCGCCTCCTCAGTTCTGCCTGAGCCACAACATCCCTGTCTCAAATATCTGCTTAGGCTCTCAGGATCTTGCAGCAAATGTTCAGTAGTAAAGTTCCATGACACCAGGGATGTCCATCTCTAAAGTCTCTCCCAAGACCCTCCACACTCCCTGCCATTCAATATTCTCTGGCTTTGGGGAAGGCTTCCTCAAAATATTATAGTTACAGATACTGATGAGGAGTACATTCAGGGAGACTGACAACATGATCATCATGATCATCAGATGAGCATTCAAAAACAGCATAAATGATTCAAGGGAGAGACTGAGAGACTGTTTAAAAACGACAAGTTCTGTAGAATTAGCAACTCCTTCTGGAGTTGTATGCGGCATTTTATGCAGATACCAAGTAGGTATTTCCTTCAGTGTTTTCAATTGATTATATATACTTATAGCTCCATAGAGCAGAGTGGCAAACTTAATTAAGGCCCAGTATGTTCTGAGCATTAAGAAAGAAAAAATGATGGAATGCATTCCCCTGAAGAGTAGTTTTACAAGAGAAAGCATTTATTTTCTTTTTACAGAAGCAAGGTAGGAGCACCCAGAAAGTTTATAAATATCCCAGAATATTGGCAGTCCGCCTGGACTTTCAAGGTCTTATTTTCATTTACAGCACTGATAAGCTTTCTAACGAAGCTCTCCGAGAGCAGAGAGAGATTTGTTCTATAAGCCAAAAAAGGGGCCTATGCCCACATTCTCCACCAAGAATGTCAACGGTTTATGGGCTGGTATGGCCCAGTTCCATGACTAGCAGGGCGGGGTGACCAGGGGACCCACACCCCAGGAAAGGAAAAAGGGGAAAAGGGTAGGGAGATGGGCCTAAAAACAAAGCAGTGGCTACAGTCTGAGGAGAATCAAACTAATTTACTAAATTAGATATCAGAATGCAAGATAACACACTATAATAGAATATAATACAATATAATTAGAATTGCAGTTAATAAATGAAATAAAATGAGAGAGACTGTCCGAAAACTGAAGGCCTTACTCTAATGCTGAGGCGATATGGCTGGGAGCAGAGATGAGCCAGAAGATCAAAAGGAGGGGTCAAGTGATCTACGAACGGTTTTTATCTTTCTCTCTGGGCGGAAACAGTAACAGAACAGTGAACAGTCCTCTGGGATATATAGTTCTCTTATGGAACACATACCGGGAACTGGAGCATTCTCTCTTTAACTCCCAGTGCACTACATGATGTTATGATGTGAAATACTGATAACAAAAAAACATAAAACCATGACAGTCTCCAAGGATGGGGCATTCACCACCTTTCTGGGCAACCAGTTCCCGTGCCTCACCAGACTTATTGGAAAGAAATTTCTTCCTTATATCCAATCTAAATTTCCTCTCTTTTAGTTTGAAACCATTTCCCCTTGTGTTATCACAACAGATCCTGCTTAAGAGTCTGCCCCCTTCTTTCTTATAGCCTCCATTTAGATACCGAAAGGCTTCTTTCAGAGTCTCCCTGGAGCCTTCCCTTCATCATTGTGTGCAGTGGAATTGCCAGGTCAGAGCCTGAACCAGTACATGAGCACATAGGTGCCTGCAGCGGGGGGAGCCTAGATCCACCCTTCCTCTCACCGTCTCAGTGGTGCTTCCAGCCATGCTTCCGGAAGCATGTATGCACTCAGAGCTTGCAGTTTGCTTCCCCCCCCCCCCTTTTCTGGTGCGTCAGAGTTCGAACGGGAAAAGGCTGCATTCCTCAGCTCACCCTTTTTTCCTAACTATTGCTGGGAGGGGTGGGTTAATTCCTCTTTCTTTGATATCTTGCTCTATAGCACCTGTATCTCAAATAAAGGCTATGTCATCACCTTTGTTTGCTTTACAGGGTGAACAGCCCCAGCTCTCTCAGCCTGTCCTCATAAGGGAGGTGCTCCATCCCTTCAATCATTTTCATGGCTGTCCTCTGGACACGCTCTAATAGGTTGATGTCTCACCTGCACTGAGGACTCCACATCTAGATGCAGTACTCCAGCTGAGGGGCAGAATCACCTCTCTTGAGCTGCATGGCCATCTAGAATGTGGCTTGCATCTTGCTGACACCAGTGACGAAATGGAACGCCCACTGCCTCACTGTGCTAACATCCACTGTTTGGTCTCCGTCAACATTCAGGAAGCATGTCAAAGGGTGCAATTTTTTCTGCATGGAGGAATTCATTGACACACCTTTGCTTCATATGCACTTCCATGTCCAATATCATTTTGTCAGACTCCCCCTCTGCTGCCATCTGTCACACAGCAACAAAATGCAGTGGAATATTGTTGGAAAGATTCAACCTCTACTGTCATCCCACCAACATCCATCTCTGATATTGTGGGCCAAAATAATAAAATAGGAGGCATTACTTTCAGAGCACCTTTTATATCCAATGCATTAATGATAACTGGTATTTTTTTTTCCTCCTTACACATCATAATAAAATGTCTGTTCTGTTATGCTATATGTCCATTTTTATTGCTTTTGTAGTGTTGAAAGATTTGGAAAGTAGAATCTAGTAAATTGAAATTCTGAGCGAATGGGGTAAGAGAATGTAACACAAGACTCCTTAGAATGCCATTGTCTTATGATCGGTGCTACTTCCTAAAAATCACAGAATGTCTTGGATTGGAAGGGACCTGAAAGATCATCTAGTTCCAACCCCCTTGCCACAGGCAGAGTTGCCAACCACTAAATCAGACACTAGATCAGGTTTCCCAATGCCTGCCCCATCCAGCCTGGTCTTGAACACCTCCAGGGATGGGGCATCCATAACTTCTCTAGACAGCCTGTTCTGGCACCTCACCACTCTCAGTGAAAAAATTCCCTCTGACATCTAATCTACATCTTCCCTCATTTAGTTTGAAACTGTTTTCCCTTGTCCTATCCCTATCTACCCATGTAAAAGGATGATTTCCCTCCTTTTTATAAGCTATCTTTAAGTATGAGAAGGCCACAATGAGATCTCCCTGGAGTGTTTTCTTCTCCAGGCTGAACAAGCCCAGCTCCCTTAGCCTGTCTTTGTAGGAGAGATGCTCCAGCCCTCTGATCATGTTCATGGCCCTCCTCTGGACCCACTCCAACAGCTCCATATCTTTCTTATGCTGGGGGCCCTAGACCTGGACGCAGTACTTCAGATGGAGTCTTACAAGGGCAGAGTAGAGGAGGATAATCACCTACCTCATCGTGCTTGCCACCTTTCTTTTGATGTCACCCAGGATACTGTTGACCTTCTGGGCTGCAAGCTGTCAATGGTTTACGGGCTGGTTCGGCCCGGTTCTGTGACTAGTGGGGCGGAGGGATCCGCAGATCCGCACCTCCGGAAAAGGGAAACAGGGGACCCAAAATAATTGAAAACAGCAGCAACGATCTGAGGTGAAACAAACTAATTTACTAAGTATAGTATCAGCAAAATATGAGAGAGAGAGAGTGTGTGCGAAAGGTGGATAGGTCTCACCACAACGCTGAGGTGAGAAGTGCAGTCCAGTTGAGCCAATGAAGAAAAGCAGACGGAGAAGAGCAGACGGAGAAGCGCAGGCGAAGAAGAGAACATCAAGTGACCTTGCCGGAAGTTACATCTCCTTGCTGACCGCAAAGCCCCCTGGGCAATGTAGTTGTTGTTCTCCTCCAGACAGGCACCCGGAACTTGAGCATCCACAGTCAAACCCCCAGTGCATTACATGATGTTATGATGTGGAATACTGATAACCAAAAATCATAAAACCATGACACAAGTACATGCTGCTGGCTTGTGTCAAGCTTTTCATTCACCAGAACCTCCAAGTCCTTCGCAGGGCTGCTCTAGAGGAGTTCTTCTCCCAGTCTCTAGACATATCTGGGATTGCCCCAACCCAAGTGATTCCATCATGTACGTCACTGATAAAGATGTTAAAGAGTACCAGTCTCAAGATGGACCCTCGGGAGACCACTCAAGACTGGCCTCCACCTAGACATAGCCATTGACAACAACCCTCTGGCTGTGACCTTCCAAACAATTCCTTACCCACTGAATAGTTCAGACTTCAAATCCATACCTCTCCAATTTAGAGATAAGGATGTGGTGGGGGACCATGTCAAAGGCTTTGCAGAATTCCAGGAAGATGCCATCATAGAAGGCCACCAGATTGGTGAGGCACAATTTGCCTTTGGTGAAGTCATGCTGTCTGTCTCGGTTCACCTGCTTGCCCTTCATGTGCTTTAACATCTCTTCCAGGAGAACCTGTTCCATGATCTTTCCAGGCACAGTGGTGAGGCTCCCTGTCCTGTAGTTCCCTGGCTTTTCCTTTCTCATTTTTCTAGAAATGGGAGTGATGTTTCCCTTTTTCCAGTCACCTGAGACTGCATGACAGCCATGAGTTTTCAAATATCATCAAGAGTGGCTTGAGACCACATCAACCAGCTCCTTTTGGACCCTGGGATGCATGTTTTAAAGCTGAAACATTGCAGATGGGATGCAAAAATTTTACTTTTTGGTTTCTGCAATATTATTAAAGTATAATTAAAAAGAAAAGTGGATCTTGAAAAGATGCTAAAATTAAAAGATGTGTTTGAACACATTTACTACTTTAAACCCTTAGCTGTCTAGATACAAGATTAGAGTGTGATATTTAAAGTATCAGAATTCGGGTCAAGTGATCAACTTGGAATGATGTGTTTTGTGATTTGTTTAAAGTTGGTTGTGTTTGTTTTGTTTTTCTTACTTTGTTGTTTCAGATTTGTCCAATATGTGCAGCATTACCTGGAGGAGATCCTAATCATGTCACAGATGACTTTGCAGCTCATCTTACACTGGAACACAGAGCTCCTAGAGATTTAATATCCTTTCTTAAGTTGAGGAAAAAGCTGATAGTTGTAACTACTTGTTTTGACTTTTGTAGTCAAGTGGCTATATCTGTTTTGCTTATTTTTTAGAATTGGTGTTTCGTTATTGGGGATCTGTATATCTGAAAATATACATATATATAATCACCTAAAGCCCATGAACAATCTTTATCTAGACAGTGTGAACATGTGTTTGTTTTTGTTTTATTCCTGATAGGCAAACCTTTAAAGATGCTTCTGACACTAAGCTACTTCTTTCTGCACTGTTTTTACCCTCCTTGGTCATTAGTTCTGATGCCATTTAGTGTAGGTGAAAGTAGCAATCTGAATGCAGTAGTATTTTATAGATAATGATGTGACTTAAAGCAGCAAATTTCATCAAAAGTAAATGTGTTAGAGGATGCTTTAAATTTTGTTGAAATTGAGTGATTTTAAGTGTTTAATTAATTTTATCACTGTATTTCAGTAGGAGTAGTTTCAAGCTGTTATTACTTGACTTATTTTAGATATAACTAGAATAGCTATTAGGAGTCTTTCTAGGAATTAGGGCTACCTTTCAAATATCTCCAGAATGTGGTGATATAACTACTCGTGATGATAAGAGCACAAACTCTCAGTTTCTTTACACAATTTTATTTTGTTACTTGGCCTTAGGAATAGTAATGTGGCTTGATTTATTGCTGTGTGTGTACCTACAACATAATTTCAGAAGGTATTCCATGGAAGTATAAGCCATCATGAAAACCTGTGATCTCTATAAATTGTTTATCTTTCTGTATCTCATTTAAAAACAATCAAACAAAAAAACCATCACTCCTACTGTAATTTGATAGTGTCTTTTTTTTCAGGACTTCTTAAATGAAAAAAATAAAATCAAGGCCTAACAATTCAAATTTGTTATATCTACTAGTAGTAACATTAGAGGAAATGGTTTCACTTTGGTTGTGATTTGTATATACATTTAAATTTCTTAGCATTTAAATTGTTCCAACTGAACAGTGAAATTAAGTTCCTTCTGAAGGTAATTAATGATGTGTTTGATTAGAATTTGCACTTCTGGAGCTTTTCATAGAATCATTGAATCATTAAGGTTGGAAAAGACCTCTTAAGATCATCTAGTTCAACCATCCACTTACCACCAATATTGCCCACTAAACCATGTCCCTGAGTTCCATATCTACATGTTTCTTGAACACTTCCAGGTACAGTGACTCCACCACCTCTCTGGGCAGCCTGTTCCAGTGACCTACCATGCTTTTGGAGAAGTTTTTCCTAATATCCAACCTGAACCTCCCCTGGTGCAACTTAAGGCCATTCCCTCTCATCCTATTGTTAGTTACCCAGGAGAAGAGGCTGATCCCCACCTCGCCATACCCTCTTTTCTGGTGGTTGTAAAGAGCTAAAAAGATCTCTCCTGAGTTTCCTTTTCTCCAGAAGAAACAGTCCTGGTCCCATCAGCTGCTCCTCATAAGACATGTTCCGGACCCCTCACTAGCTTCGTTGCCCTTTGGACATGCTTACTCCAGCGTCTCAATGTCTTTCTTGTAGTGAGGGACCCATAACTGAATACAGTACTCGAGGTGCAGCCTCACCAGTGCTGAGTACAGAGGTACAATTACTTCCCTGCTCCTGCTGGCAACACTATTTCTGATACAAGCCTGGATGTCGTTGGCCTTCTTGACCACCTGGGCACACTGCTGGCTCATGTTCAGCCAAGCGTCAACCAACACCCCCAGACCCTTTTCCTCTGCATAACCTTTGAGCCACTCTGCCCCAAGCCTGTAGCATTGAATGATGTTGTTGTGGGCAAAGAGCAGGACCTGGCACTTGGTCTTGTTGTCCCATACATGCAGTGTGATTGCACTCAAGACAATCTGTTCCATAACCTTCCCTGGCACTGAGGTCAGGTTGACAGGCCTGTAGTTCCCTGGATCCTCCTTACAATCCTTCTTGTAGATGGGAGTCACACTGGTAAGCCTTCAGTCATCTGGGACTTCTCCTGTTGACCAGGACTGCTGATAGATGGTGGAAAGAGGCTTGGCAGTCACTTCCACCAGCTCCCTCAGCATCCTCGAGTGGATCCCTTCTGGCCTCATGGAGTTGTGACTGTCCAGGTGGAGTAGGGGGTCTCTCTTTCCATCTGAATTGTGGGGGTTTATTCTGCTCCCCATCCTAGACTTCCCAGTTAGGAGGCTGAGTACCCCGAGGATAACTGGTCTGACTATTAAAGACAGATATAAAGAAGGCATTGAGAACCTCCACCTTTTCCTTATCCTCAGTGGTCATGTTCCCTGCCACATCCAGCAAAGGATGGAGATTCTCCTTGGCCCTCCTCTTACTGTTAATATATTTGTAAAAACATTTTTGTTTTCTTTTACTACAGTGGCCATGTTGAGCTCATGCTGGGCTTTTGCCTTTCTAATTTTCTCCCTGCATATCCTAGAAATTTCCTTGTGCTCTCCCCAAGTTGCCTGTCCCTTCTTCCACAGGAGGTTAACACTTTTCTCCCAGAGTCTCAGGAAACGTTCTCTGTTCAGCAACACCAATCTTCTTCCCCACTGGCTCATCTTATGGCACACTTACAGCAAACTTGGAGCTATATGATTTACATCATTTTCAGCAAGTGAAAAATTGCTTTGAAAGCATTTAATAAAATTACATATTTAGGCCAAGGATAGGGCATTTTTTGCTTCCAGTTCTCCCAGAATTAAAATCATAGAAATCATAGGCTCATAGAATGGCTAAGGTTGGAAAGGACCTTAAAGATCATCTAGTTACAACCCCCCTGCCATGGACAGGGTTGCCACCCACCAGATCAGGCTGCTTAGAACCCCATCCAACATGGTCTTGAATGTCTCCAGAGATGGGGTATCCACAACTTCTTTGGACAACATGTTCCAGTACCTCACCACCCTTTGAGTAAAAAAATGATTCCTAACATCTAACTTAAATTGCCCCTCTTTTAGTTTAAATCCATTCTCCTTGCCCTATCACTATCAGACTTCGTAAAAATTAAATCTCCATCTTTTGTATAAGGTCCCTTTAAGTACCTTTAAAAGTCAAATGAGGTCTCCCCAGAGCTGCCTTTTCTTCAGGCTGAACAAGCCCAGCTGCCTCAGCCTTTCATCATAGAAGAGGTGCTCCAGCCCTCTGATCATCTTTCTGGCCTTCCTCTGGACTTGCTCCAACAGTTTCACATCTCTCTTGTGCTAGTAGCCCCAGAAAATGAAAAGCTAAAGCATATACATAGGTTGCTCTGAAAGTAATGCTTTCTATTTATTTCCATGGAAAATACAACAGATACAAAGAGCATAACAACACTGTTTGATAGAGCAAATTCTCAGCTACAAAACACTATTTTTCAACATAGTCACCACCATTAACTTTGCATTTTTGCTAGTGATGGACAAGAGCCTGCATGTTACACTCATAAAAGTTTGCACCAACAGAGCTGACACACTGTTTCACAGCTGCTATAATGGCATCATTGCTGGGAAAATGTTGCCCACGCAGTCCCTCTTTTATCAGCCCAAACAGGTGGAAGTCAGAAGGCACCAAATCCAGACTATTCAGTGAATGTTGTAGAACAGTCCAGCCAAGATTGGCAATGTGCTCTACGGTCTTCAGAATGGTATGGGACCTGGTGTTATCATGTTGCAAGATAAATATTGTCTTCTTCTCTGGCCTGACTCCGGAAGTTTGAGCCTTCAGCTTAGTCAGTATTGCGATGTAGCGGTGAGACTTGATGGTTTGTCTGGGTTCCAGGAAAATATCACACCTTTCCTATCCCAAAACACAGTGCACATCACTTTACCCGCTGAGGAATGTGTCTTGAACTTTTTCTTCAGTGGGGAATTCACGTTGTCACTACATGGACTGCCATTTTGACTCTGGCTCACAGTGGTGACACCATGTCTCATCACTGGTAGTGTTGAGATCCAGGAAACTGCCACCTTCAGCCCCATTATTGGCTCAATAGGCCCTGAAAAACTTGCATATGATGTTCTTGCTGTTTGTGTGTATGCATTTGTGCAACCCACCTGGCACAAATTTTGCAGTATTCCAACATTGCCTCCATTGATTCCAATGCACTGAAGCTGATATTCAACTCCGTACACAGTTCCCTGGTTGTAAACTGCCAATTTGCACAGATGAGTTGATCAAGATGCTCTTCATTTCATGATGTGGCAGCTGTTCGTAGCTGTCCAGAATGTGGCTTGTCTTTCACATCACTATCACTACTGCTGAAAGGCACCACCCACTTCCTCATTGTGCAGACATCCACTGTTTGGTCTCCATCAACATTCAGCAAGCATTGATGAATGAGAATGGGTGCAATTTTTTCTATGTGGAGGAATTCAGTGACACACCTTTGCTTCATACACACTTCCATGTCAGACACCATTTTATCACGCTGCCCCTCTGTTGCCATCTGTTGCACAGCAACAAAATATAATGGAATATTGTTAGGGAGATTCAATCTCTACTCATACCACCAACATTTGCTTCTGATATAATGAGCCAACATATTAAAATAGAAGGCAATATTTTTGGAGCAGCCCAGTATAATTTTTCCAGTTCTTTGTAATTTTCACAAATTATTTTATTTTTTTATAAAAGAGCATGCCTTTTTTTTTTTTTTTCCAAGATAATATAATAACAGGAAAGATGACTAACTGCACAAAAGTTATGTTATTTAAAAAAAAAAAAAAAGTCACTTGTATCTACTGAATGACTTTAATGAAAAGTGTTAAATTTCTTGTCAAACTCTGATATATAGAACTTATATATAGACAAGATATGTCTATATAAGACAATTGATAATACATAAGAAAACTAATCTTACTAAAAAGAGAAAAGTAGATATCCATAATTACTATCTACTAAGCTCACAAAATAATGTAACACAACTGGAAGTGATATTTATTTTAAGAGTAAACTGAGCACAGAACAGTTGTCAAATCATCAACTATCACTATAATTTACACTTTTTTTTTTTTTTTACTAGTGTAAGTGGGTTTAAAATGTTTAGCTGAAAACTGAACACAAATGATAGGATTATAGGACATTTCTAGATATGCAGGGCAAGGGGGAAATAAAAAAAGTGGGTTTGTTTTTTTTTAATGCTCAGAGATGAACATACATTTGCAAGCTTGTACATGTTCAGAATAAAGACACATAGCAAAGAATTAGAGTAATGAAAATTATGACAGAAATGCAATTAATTTATTTTTAAGGATAACAATTTCATAGGCCCAGCTACAAAGGGCTAGAAGTCTACACTTTCTGATATAGCATCTTCATGTGAATCCGTCAGGGACAATAGAAATATCTCCCCGAAGAGCTGTTCTTTTCCCATAATATAAAGCTTTCATTCCACAAAGAGATTTGGAATTCAATGGTCTTAATTTTGCCATCTGTCAGAGGTGTAGTTGATGATAGTAGTGGGCCAGATTTTCTTTCTTTTCTCCAGAGAGCATATTCTTGAAGTAGGAACCCCAGGTCCTCTGCAATTAAGAACTATGTCAGCTAGTCTCAGAAGACTCCTTGCCATTCTATATTAGGGAACTGAAAAAGGTATTTTTTTTTTTTCAAAAATTGTCTTCAGAGTGTAAAGTGATTATAAACAAATTCTAATTTTGATGTTAAAATCCTTGTGTCTATTGAGTGATGTCTTCTGCTGAACATGTATCATCTGTTTAAATTACCTGGTTGAAAACTTTTATACAAAAAGCAGGAAATCCATCCTGACATTCTTAGACATGATAAGAAGCCCGAGAAAGATGAATTTGGTGCGAGAAGCCCTGAGTGCCTTGGGTTCGTGTCTATCGGTCTGACTGGCACTGTGGCTATTATTGCATTATACTTCAGAAGTTGAATAATTGTCCCTCACTAAATTTTCTTGATGTTTAACACTTGATATCAAATGATTTTCCTTAACTGCTTGTTTATGATGAATCTAGTGGTGTTCGACACGTTCGTAGAATGTTTCACCCAGGCCGGGGTTTGGGAGGCCCCCGTGCACGTAGATCAAACATGCACTTTACTAGCAGTTCCACTGGTGGGCTTTCGTCTTCTCAGAGTTCATATTCTACAAGCAATAGAGAAACCATGGATCCTATAGCTGGTAAGAGCTGTAACCACCGATTTTAGTCCAGACTCCTTAAATAGACTTTGAAATAAAATCCGAAATGATAGTAGGTGCCTTGTTTTTCTATGTTTTAAAGTTGAGTGTGTGTATATGCTTCCCACTGTCATCATAATTGATGGATGTTTCCTGATGAGCAATATCCTTGATTAGATTTTGTACCTGGAACTTTTGAAACAGAAAACACTGGCCTTTAGCTTGTGCTTTTCAATTAAAAGACTTTTAGGCATGGTTCACGTGACTGACCTATTAACAAGTGGTATAAAAGTGTGGTTGAGGTTGGAAAGGACATCTCAGCATAATCTGGAGCAACTCCCTGTTGAAATAGGGACATCTAGAGCAGATTGTTAAGGACCTTGTCCAGTTGAGTTTTGAATATTTTCATGGATGGAGACTACACAACCTCTCCGAACAACCTGTTTCAATATTTGACCACCTCACAGAAGGAAAGTGTTTTCTTGTCTTAGTTTCAGCTGGGGTGGAATTGTTTTCTTCAGAGTGTCTGGTATGATGATATGTTTTGGTTCTAGGAGAAAACCAGATGAATTACAGAATGGTTTAGGTTGGAAGGGACCTTAAAGATCATCTAGTTACAACCCCCCTGCCATGGACAGGGTTACTAACCTGGCCTTGAATGCCTCCAGGGATGGGACATCCACAACTTCTTTGGACAACCTGTTCCAGTGCCTCACCACCCCCTGAGTAAAGAATTTCTGCCTAATATCATAGAATCATAGGATTGTTTGAGTTGGAAGGGACCCTTAAAGGTCCTCTAGTCCAATTTCTTTTTTTATTTTCTTCATTTTTTAAATTTGATTTTGTTTTAATTTTTTATGCAGTTCCAGCTTAAAAAAAAAAAGAAAAAAAAAGTCAGACGTGTAATAGTACAAAACAAGCTGGCTTGGAGAGGGAAAAGCCATTTTCTTTTGTCCTTCTCCAAGAAGTAGATGGATGTGCCTCCCAGTGCTCTTGTTGTCCATGCATCTTCCCCATTTCAAGACTCTGAACGAATCCACAGTGAAGCATCACCTTGAAATGTATTGCTTTCAAGGCAGTGTGTGGTCTGTGCTGCCCTCAGAAGTTCCCTCTATGAAGTACACCCACAGTCCACAGGGCAGAGGGATCTGTCCAACATCATTAGTCAGCAGCTGAGTGCTGGCAAGCCACCATCTGTATCTGCACATATCAGCAGTCCCTGAGCCAAGGGAAGAGGTGAAGCTCTGCAAAGAGAGAGCGAGGGCTTCACATAGCTCCCATGCAGGGAGCGCCCCATGCCTGCTCTGCAGTGATTCCTGTTCTGCTCCCTCTCCAGTCTGCACATGAGCAGCAGGGTAAGTCCTGCCTGCCTGCAGCTGCTGCCAAGGATGGGCTGCATGCGACCAATGGCTTACAAGGTTCATGGGGTTTTGGGAGATGTGCATGGGAAGGTGGAAACTGGCCAGGTGGATGTACATGGTTGGAGGACTGGCATGGATGGAGGAGCTCAGAAATTCTGGAACTTGGCACTCCTGTCAGGCTGGAGGTTAGTCCAGTCCCATGTATCCTTCACCAACATTTGAATCTCATCGGCTTTAGGGATGTTATTTGAGGTGTAGTTTAAGAGCAGCTTTGTGAATTCCACATAACAGAGACTGGGCATGGGAGTGAAGGTGTCCTGGTGTATTCCTGGTCCCAAATTTTCTCCAGTATTTCCATGTCCATCCACACCAGGGGAATCAGCTGACATTTCTACCTCTGCTTCAGACTGATGGCCAACCAGACAGGCACTTACACCAGCAAACCAGGGTTGAAAGGACCCAGACCCCCCAGTTCCTTCTTGGCTAGGAACTCTGCTTCACTGACTCCATCATCTAGTTACAACTCCCCTGCCATGGGCAGGGTTGTCACCCACTAAATCAGGCTGCCGGGGACCTCATCCAACATGACCTTGAATGCCTCCAGGGATGTGACATCCACAACTTCTCTGGGCAACCTATTCCAGTGCCTCACCACCCTCTGAGTAAAGAATTTCCATCTAATATCTAATGTAAATCTATTCTCCAGTTTAAAGCCATTACCCCTTGTCCGATCAATATCTGCCCATGTAAAATGTCAATCTCCCTCCTGTTTATAAGCTCCCTTTGAGTACTGGAACGAGTTCAGGAAGGGATCTTTAAGGTCATCCAGTTCCAACACCTCTGTCATGGACACTAGACCAGGTTGCCCAAAGTCCCATCCAGCCTGGCCTTGAACATTTCCAGGGAGGGGGTATCTACAACCTCTCTGGGCAACCTGTTCCAGTGTTTCACCACCATTATGGTGGTGAAACATGACTCATGTGACTGGAGTGCTGCAATGGCTGGCTACAAACTCTTCAGGAAGGATAGGCAAGGAAGGAGGGGTGGCGGTGTGGCTCTCTATGTTAGAGAGTGCTTTGATGTTACTGAGCTTGTGGCTGGGGATGAGAACGTTGAATCCCTATGGGTAAAGATCAGGGGAAGGGCTGACAAGGCAGACATCCTGGTGGGCGTCTGCTACAGACAGCTGAATGCAGATGAAGAGACAGATGAGGTGTTCTACGAGCAGCTGGCAGAAGCTGCACGATCACTAGCCCTTGCCCTCATGGGGGACTTCAACTTCCCCGACATATGCTGGAAATACAACACAGCGCAGAAGAAGCAGTCTAGGAGGTTTCTGGAGTACATGGAGGATAACTTCCTGATGCAGCTGGTGAGAGAGCCTTCTGGACCTGCTGTTCACAAACAGAGAAGGTCTGGTGGGAGATGTGGAGGTCGGGGGCTGTCTTGGACAGAGTGACAATGAAGTGGTAGAGTTCTTGATTCTTGGTGGAGCCAGGAGGGGGAACAGCAAAACTGCTACCTTGGACTTCCGGAGGGCAGACTTTGTATTGTTCAGGAGACTAGTAGGGAGAGTCTCCTGGGTTTCAGTCTTAGAGAATAAAGGGGTCCAAGATGGCTGGTTGCTCTTCAGGAAGGAAGTCTTAAAGGCGCAGGAGCAGGCTGTCCCCCTGAGCCACAAAATGAGCCGGCGGGGAAGAAGACCAGCATAGATGAATAGGGAACTATTCTTGAGGCTCCAGGAGAAAAAGGAATCTGCCTCCTGTGGAAGAAGGGACGGGCGACTCAGAAAGAGTACAGAGAAGTTGTTAAGATGTGTAGAGAGAAAA